GCTTGTAGGATTGTAGCTCTTCTTTGTGTCTGTCAACATGTACTCTGTTTTGCACTTTTGTTGTGATGTTTATTGTTTTGATATTTCTATATATATGATCAGCCACAAGTAAGCTACAGACTTCCAAAAAGATCCTATGATAGCAACCTGGAATCATGTGATTGGAAATATTACCGTTAATGGGATTCCAAATTGTGGGTCTATGGCAATGGCAAGTAGTTCATACACTAATTGCTCTGCCTTTTCTAAAAACAAGGGGCTAAATTATATTTATATGATATAGTTTTATGATTTATTTTTTTAAGATGTCACCGTAGCGTTAGCACGGGCAATATACTAGTAGATTCAGAGCACCAGCTTCATGCAGCTCAACCATAAAAGAGTTTCATCGTGGATCTGAACTCCTACCAACCTATTTGGTAGGGCTCCAACTCCAATATAAATTTGTTTGTAAATACAAAAATGAACTAGGAACTAAAACAAAAAAGTCAGTCATACCAACCTGTTTGGAAGGGCTCCAGCATCTCCAATACGAATTCATTTGTAAATATAAAAATCAGCTAGGGGCTAAAATGATAAAAAAGGTCAGGCACAACCGTGTCTTTGTCTTCCTTGCACAACTGCGAGCTCGGGTGGGGCGCGGGACGCCTGGTCGCGGTGGGGTTGGGGGTGGGGCTCGCACAGCTAGGGCTCAGATGGGGACGGGGCGCGCCAGCCGCGATCCTGTCGGAGCTCACGGCGGTGGCCGCCAGGAGAGCTGGAGCTTGTGGTGGCGGTAGGGCTAGGCAGGTGCGCGCAATAGGGCTAGTCAGGCGTACGATGGAGCCGAAGAGGCGCGCCGGCGAGGCTAGGAGAGGTACGCACGGCGACCAAGACGATGGGAATGATCCGCGAAAAAAGAACCAGTATATTGGATCGTGTAACCTGTGGCAGTGGCGTGTAATTTTCTCAATTCCACCAAACTTGAGTTTTCATAACACCCTCTGAGGTGCTCCACGAAATTCATGAATCTGAGGATAGAACCATGGATTTCGTGGAGCTGCTGTATGGTGGATCTGTGTGGAGCTGGAAGCGTTTGGATTAAAAAAGTGGGAGTGGAGCTATTTTTGCAGATCTGGAGCTGCTAGAGTTCTCCCAAACATATCCTAATTAGTTGTCACATGAGGCATTTTGGTGGCATAGTAATTTATGAAACTAGAAGCATATCTTGTGCATTATTGTGGGAATTGCGAATGATCTGTAACCAAATTATAGATAGACTACATATAATTACTTGTATGAAGAGATAAATTAAATTATCATTTTTTAATGTTTAGTGGAGATGGCATGCTGATGTGGACATGTAAATGCATGTTAGCGGGTGATGTGTCTCACTTAAGCATATATCATAATTGTATGTGCTAGTAGAATGTAACGACATCCAATAATGGGCTACTGAGGTAGACAGCTTGCATGTGGAGATTGAACCTCTGGTGGGGGTTTAAGATTATAAGATACTAGAAGAACACCTGCATGTTGCTGTGGGACTCTCTTAGAAATAAAATTGTTGACTAGGTAAGCTAATGGAAGAATCAAATAAAACGTTTATAGAATATTAGATTGAATTGTAGGAGAATGTGATGGGCAAACACATGTACACCGTGGATGCCTCTCGTATATTAATAGACTAAAAATAGTAATTGCATTTAGTGGAAGATGGTGTAGCACTTATTAGCTAGGTATGACATGTGGATAGCTTGCATGTAGAGATTGAAAGATAGTGGGGTTTGTTTTTATAAGAGATTTAGAGATAGATACAGATATAGATACAATACAGATACATCACATACACAGATACAGATACAGATATAGATATAGATATAGATAAAAAATAGAAATTATATCATTACTGATGAGGACATGAAACATTCAGATAGGACCATTGATTATAGGCAAAATTGGCCACATGACGTCGGAAATGACCTCTCTTTGCTGTAGGACATGAAAAAAGTGGAATTTGCTTATAAACACTTTGCTTCCTATCAAATTTGCTAGGGACACCGTGCTTAATAAAATATTCATTTTTGGCTCTTGAAGATAGAGAAGAGTCCACTCCCTTCACCTGGACGGACTCCTACCCCAGTTGGATTTGGCGGGTATTGATTCATTTTTTTCTCAACAAGAGACATGGGCAACAATCAAAGAGCTCCCCCGGACCGCGCTCCCGGATCGGATGGGTTCACTGGGCTTTTCTATAAGGTCGCATGGGGCATCATCAAGGACGACATCGTCAACGCTTTCAATGCCTTGTGGTCGCTGGACACCCGAAGCTTTCATTTGCTCAATGACGCCCTCAAGATCCTTCTGCGCAAGAAACAGTCGCCGGCAACCATGAAGGATTACAGGCTAATCAGCCTGATGCACAGTTCAGTTAGCTTTTCGCCAAATGTCTGGCACGGTGGTTGGCTCCCAAGCTTAAGCTGATTGTGGCACCTAACCAGAGCGCCTTCATCAAAGACCGATCTATCCACGACAATTTCCGTTCAATACAGCTGGCATGTCGGTGGCTGCACAGTAAGCGCTTTGCGTCCGTTCTGTTAAAGATCGATATCGCAAAGGCCTTTGATTCGGTGGCTTGGCCTTTCCTCCTAGAGATCCTGCAGTTCATTGGATTCCCAAGACGGTGGACTGACTGGATCGTGATCCTGCTCTCAACCGCTAGCACGAAGGTGCTGCTGAACGGCCGCCCGAGGCGAAGAATCATTCATGCCCATGGCTTAAGGCAGGGCGATCCAATTTCGCCTATGCTCTTTGTCATAGTCATGGAGGCGCTGAACTCCCTAATTAGGGAAGCCGATCACCGTAACGCCCTGACGCCGCTTCCTGGTCGCGCAATTGCACACCGAACTTCCCTATACACTGATGACTTGGTGCTCCTCCTCGTCCCTCGCAGCGAGGACCTTCATTGCCTCCTGCAGATCCTGCAGTTGTTTGCTGGGGCATCCGGTCTGGTGACCAACGTTGATAAGTGCATCACCACTCCCATTTGGTGCACTGAGGAAATGGTCGCGACGGTGCAGCAGGTGTTCCTCTGTGTGATCATCTCGTTCCCGTGCAAGTATCTTGGAATCCCGTTGTCCTTATCGAGGCTAACAAGGGCGGAGGAGCAGCCGCTCGTCGACGCGATCGCGGCAAGGATCCCAACTTGGAAATCGGGATTGCTCGCTAATGCCGGGCGCGTCTTACTCACTAAGGTCACACTTTCTGCCATCCCGGTCCATCTTAGCATCGCCTGTTGCCTCTCCCAATGGGTGATCAGCCAGATTGATAAACGACGCCGTGCTTTCATTTGGGCGGGCGCTGAAACCACCACTGGGGGTAAGTGCAAGATCGCCTGGACTATGGTGTGCAGACCAACGTGCCTTGACGGCCTCGGTATCTTGGACCTATGCTACTTCAGCTTCGCCTTGAGGTTGCGTTCGGAATGGCTTGGGAGAACTGACCCAACGCGTTGTTGGGGATCATTGCCGTGTTGCGTCGAGAAGCCGGTTGCAGCCATTTGCGCGGTCAGTATGTGTGTCCAAGTTGGTGATGGCGTGACAACCAAACTATGGATGGATTCCTGGGCTTTGGTTGGCCCCCTCTGCCGCTTCACGCCCGGAGCTGTTTGCTGCACTCTCGAGGGCAGGGAAAACCATATCCCTGAAGGACGGACTACACCTCAACCGCTGGGCGTGGGAGATCGTCAGAGCCTTAACAGCGTCGGTGCTATACCAATAGTTGTTGGTCTGGGACCTGCTGCGGAACGTGGTTTTGAATCCATTGCAATCCGATCAATTCGTTTGGAAGTGGTCGCCGGATGGAAAGTACTCGGCGTCGTCGGCATACAAGGTGTTCTTCCATGGGTCCACGAACCTCCTTGGCGCCAAGGAACTATGGCGAACCAAGGTGCCGCCGAGGGTTAAGTTCTTCTTTTGGTTGGCTCTTCATCGCCGTCTGTGGACAGCGGACAGGCGAAAGAGGCACGGACTGCAGGATGACGACGGCTGCGCACTATGCGGCCAAGAGCCGGAGACCGTTGTGCTATAAACAATAGGCAATATAAATGACGAAGAACAGTAGATCAAACACAGGAGACACGAGATTTTAATGTGGAAAACCCTCCTAAGCTGGAAGGGAAAAAACCACGGGCATCAGCCAGCAAATCTTCACTATATCGGGTGAGGTTACAAACGTCGGAGATTTACAACTTAGGGATACCCTAACCTAGGGGCCTTCCCGTATACAAGTCTATGATGCCTCTTTTCATGAAGGAGGTGGTCCGTATATATAGGGAGGAAAAAACCCCACACCCTCGTCTATAAGCAATACGGAACTAATAGATGGTGTAGTCCCTCTTAACGCTAATGGGCCGCTTCGCTTCGGCCCAAGCTTGAATTTGGATCATAGCTCAACAAACTCCACCTTGAGACAAATTCCTTCTTGTAGCATAAAACGAACCTTCGCCCTGAAACAACAAAGAAATACTTCTGGTGCCAAATAGCCTCTTGGGCTAAACAGTTATACCAACTAAGCTTGAGCAAAGCTCAAACTTAGCAACAGGAACTGGCTTTGTCAACATATCAGCAGGATTATCATGTGTGCTTATCTTGCATACCTTCAGCTTACCTTGCGCGACCACATCATGAACATAATGGTATTTGATATCAATGTGCTTCGTTCTCTCATGTAACATCTGATCTTTAGTGAGACATATAGCACTTTGACTGTCATAAAATAAATTAATGCAAGAATCATCTCCACAAAGCTCAGCAAACAAACCTTTCAACCAAACTGATTTTTTACATGCTTCAGCAATAGTCATGTATTCTGCTTCAGTGGTAGACAAGACAACAACGAGCTGCAATGTTGCCCTCCAACTCACGGCACAACCACCAATAGTGAACACATAACCTGTGAGAGATCTCCTCTTATGCAAATCAGCAGCAAAATCTAAATCCACGTAGCCAGTGAGTCCCTTATCAGTCCTGCCAAACTTCAAACAGGCATTTGTTGTACCACAAAGGTACCTGAAAATCCACTGAACAGCCTTCCAATGTTCTTTACTAGGATTAGCCATGTATCTACTAACCAAACTCATAGCATATGATAAATCAGGACAAGAGCAAACCATGGCATACATCAAAGAACTAACAACACTAGAATATGGAACTCTTGACATGTACTCAAAATCCTCATCCGTACTAGCACATTGTAAAGTTGATAATTTGAAATGAGGAGCAATAGGAGTACTAACATACTTTGCATTATGCATGTTGAAACGATGAAGAACTTTCTTAATGTAACTTTGCTGACTAAGAAATAACAAACCAGAATTTCTGTCTCTTGTAATTTCCATACCTAGAATCTTCTTAGCAGCACCAAGATCCTTCATCTCAAACTCACTATTCAACAGTTTCTTCAACATAGTGATTTATTTCTTGCTCTTGGCAGCAATCAACATATCATCAACATATAACAGCAAGTATATAGGTGATCCATCAACAAATTTAATGTACACACAGCTATCAAATTCAGACCTCTTAAAACCATGTGACATCATAAAAGAATCGAACCTTTTATACCATTGACGAGGAGACTGTTTCAAACCATATAAGGACCTCTTTAATTTGCAAACATGATCCTCCTTACTAGGTACTATGAACCCTTCTGGCTGGTCCATGTATATCTCCTCCTCGAGCTCTCCATGTAGAAACACAGTCTTTACATCTAACTGCTCAAGCTCAAGATCTCGCATAGCAACAATACCGAAAAATGTACGAATTGAACTATGTTTTACAACTGGAGAGAACACATCATTATAACCAACACCAGGAATCTGACTGAAACCTTTTGCTACTAACCTTGCCTTAAATCTTGAAGGCTCACTAGGAGACAAACCCTCCTTTCTCTTGAAGATCCATTTGCAACGAACGGCCTTCTTATGTTTAGGCAAGCGCACAACATCCCATGTACCATTTTTCTCAAGTGACTGCATCTCTTTTTGCATAGCGGAAATCCACTTCTCGCGGTCACCAGAAACAACAGCTTCAGTGTACGTAGCCAGCTCATGAATGTTCTCAACCTGTTCAGCACAACTAATGGCATAATGATCAATATCACATTCCTCAATTAAACGTGGACGAGGTCCACAACTCCTCTTTGTTCTATGATCTGCAATAGACTGATTTTGAGGCTGCAAAATAGGAGGTGAGTGCTGAACAATATCATAAACATTGTTATCAACAATTTCAGTTTCCTGATCATCTATGTGCTCCACCTACACGCTAACATGTTTCTGCTCCTCATCAGAATCAACTGGTAAAACATCTGTGGACAAGCTATCATTAAACATAACAGATTCATTGAAAATAACGTTCCTGCTCATGAAAGTCTTTTTAGTTTCAGGATTCCATACCTTATATCGTTTAACTCCAGAACCATAACCAAGAAACAGACACTTCATGGCTCTAGGTTCTAGCTTTCCATTATCAACATGAGCATAAGCAGTGCAACCGAAAACTCTCAATTGTGAATAATCAGCGGGCATACCAGACCATACCTCAATGAGAGTTTTCTTATTAAGTGGGATAGAAGGTGATCGGTTGATCAAGTAACAGGCGGTGTTAGCAGCCTCAGCCCAAAAACGCTTGTTCATACGAGCATTGGACAGCATGCAACGAGCCCTCGAGATGATGGTTCGGTTCATACGCTCAGCCACACCATTTTGCTAAGGAGTGTATGGGATGGTGTGGTGCCTGACAATGCCTTCTTCCCTGCAGTAATCATTAAAAGCATCCGAACAGAATTCACCGCTATTGTCAGTACGAAGCAATTTTACCTTCCTTTCAGTTTGCCTTTCTATCATAACTTTCCACTCTTTAAAAGCAGCAAAAGTATCATCTTTATTTTTCAGAAAGTAAGGTCACACTTTTCTAGAGTAATCATCAATAATGGTAAGCATGTAACGAGCACCACCATAAGAGGGTTTACGAGACGGCCCCCACAAATCAGCATGTACATAATCAAGTGTACCTTTGGTGGTATGAACAGATGCATTGAATTTTACCCTCTTGTGCTTACCAAAAACACAGTGCTCATAGAACTTCATCTTACCTACAGTACAGCCATCCAGTAGGTCTCTCTTGATCAATTCTGCCATACCAAGTTCACTCATATACCCAATACGCATATGCCAGAGATTAGTTTTACTTGGTTCATCATTAGAAACAACAGAAGCAGTGACGGAACCATGTAAAGTACTTTCTCTAAGAACATATAACTTTGCAGAATTCATATCACCTATCATATGAATGAGAGAGCCTTTTGATACCTTACACACTCCACCTGAACCGGAGTATCTGTATCCCTCGGCATCAAGTGTGCTGAGGGAGATAAGATTTCTGGCCATCCCTGGTATGTGTCTCACGTCTTTCAGTGTGCGTATCATACTATCATGCATCTTGATCTGAACGGAGCTAATGTCCACAATCTCATGTGGGTTGTTATCTCCCATACGCACGACATCTCCACTCTGCACAGACTCATAAGAACTGAACTAATCTCTGTTAGAGCATATATGAAACGAGCATGCAGAATCAAGTATCCATTCATCACGACCAGCAACACAACCAGCAAAAACAACCAGAACATCTTCTGAATCAGAAGTATCAACAGCGGAGACAACAGAGGCCTTACCATCACCATTAGATTTGTTTTTCGGTTTATACGTACCGTTTCTTTTCTCCTTATTATGTAGCTTTCAACAATCCTCATTGACATGAGTATCTTTCTTACAATACCTACAGAACTTATCCCTGCCTCTAGACTTAGAATGGCCTTTACCATTCTTGCTCTTGTCTCGATTATTGTTGTTGTAGGTTTTCTGCTCGGGCCTGCCTCTAACCTACAACACTTCGCCCTTAGAGGACGACACATCAGACTGAACCATACCTTTCATCTTCTCCCTCGTCTGGAGGGCCTTATATACTTCCGCAAGAGTTAGTTCATCACGGCTTAATAGTATGGTATCTCGAAAATTTACAAACGAAGTAGGCAGTGAGCATAACAGTAGAAGAGCTAAATCTTCATCATCATATTTTACCTCCATCGACACTAGGTCGGCAACGATCTCCTTAAAGATCGATAAGTGGTTCATCACCGAACCACCTTCTTGCAGGTTGTGCGTGAACAACTTCATCTTCACGTGCATCTTACTGGTTAGATCCTTGGATATACAAATTGATTCCAGCTTGAGCCAAAGTTCTGCGGCAGTTTTCTCCTGCAGCACTTCTTGTAAAATATCATTATGTAGATAAAGTTGAATCAGAGACAGAGCCTTATGATCCTTCCGCTTCTCTTCAGCGGTCCATGACTTCTGCCCTTTTCCTCCGAAACCGTCCAGCGCCTCATCAAGATCCGAAGATTATGCCAGAATCGCCCGCATCTTGACTTGCCACAGTGCAAATCTCGTCTTGTAATCCAGCAGCGGTAGATCAAACTTCATCGATGCCATCGCGAAAACCCTAAGGTCAAACCAAGCTCTGGTACCATTTGTTATAAACGATAGGCAATATAAACGACGAAGAACAGTAGATCAAACACAGGAGACACGAGGGAAAAACCACGGGCACCAGCTAGTAAATCTTCACTATATCGGGTGATGTTACAAACGTCGGAGATTTACAATTTAGGGATACCCTAACCTGGGGGCCTTTCCGTATACAAGTCTATGATGCCTCTTTTCATAAGGGAGGTGGTCCGTATATATAAGGAGGAAAAAATCCCACACCCTTGTCTATTAGCAATACGGAACTAATAGATGGTGTAGTCCCTCTTAATGTTAATGGGCCGCTTCGCTTCGGCCCAAGCTTGAATTTGAATCATAGCTCAACACGTTGATCACGTCATTATGGGTTGCGTGGTCGCCAGGCAACTCTGGTTTGCCCTACTATCTCCTATCGGTCTGGAGTCCATCGTTCCGAGGAGCGACGACGCGCTAGTTGATTGGTGGCTCAGGGACGAGCGCTGTTGCCTGGTAGAGAAGAGCTGCAATTTGTCCATTTTAATATCCGATTTAAGATGCTCAGTATTCTCGGCATTGATCTCCCATAGGTTGGTGTGAATTCCGTTCCTGTATATTCTTGGTTCGTGTTCTTGACGACTGAAAACACATAATCTGCTCGATAGAACTATTCTAAGATGTCACCTGGTAAAGTAGCACTCCTCTTCCCGATCGTGTTTGCAATAGCCTTTGCACTGCCAGTTATTGTTAACGGAAAGTGTACCGATAAGGAGAAGACAGACATCCTGCAACATTGTGAAGATTACCTCAAGCATGGAGCTCCCACCCCATCCTTACATAGTCCCTGTTGCGCAGCAGCGTTAGAGGTGCCCGTCCTGGATATGCAATGCATCGTCGATCTACTTACAGCAAAAGAGAGGAGCGAATATAAGGAAGCAAATATCTTGCTGCTCAAACATCTCTGCCATCCTTTTTCAGGGCCTCCTACTAATAATCAGGTATAAATCAATGCTCCTTTCCAAACGCTTAGTCCTGATATAAAAGTAGTAATGAACTAGATTAATCCTTAATCAGACATTGACACTATACTATTTTCTTGACAGGTCATGGTCTAAAAGGGAGAGCAGCCATGCATCTCACTGATGCATGGAGAGCATGAGTTTGAATGAGATGGATAGATATAACAAACCTTCTGCTTAATAAATTGATGAAGTGTGATCGTTGTGGTATGTGTCGTTGATTAAGGGAAACCTGCTTGATAAATATTTTAAGTGTCTTTTGTTTGATTGTGAGCATGTCTTCATTGGGATGCAACAACTTGTGTCTTTTTGTTCGAGAGAAAGCAGAAAGCTTTAAGTTAATAACACGAAGCAGATAGGAAGCTTGACCATATTTATGTCCATTTCATTTGAAACCTATCCAAGAAAACATTAACAAAATTCTGCACCATATATCTCGTTAATTCTGCAACTTGAGAATTAAAAAATACATAGAGTCCACTAGAGCTTTATAAGTAGAATCAGGCTTGGACAAACAGCCCTCGAACATTGGATTTTGTTTCCTCTCAGACATACACAATTAGTATATAAGGGTGAGGAAATCTAGTGTGGTGCCTTGCCCTTAGCCTCGCAGAATAAGGTAGTGTTTGGTTGGAAGGATTAAGAGGAGTAGGATATGACGGATCTATTTTTGAAGATGTTTGGATCGGAGTCACGCAGAAGCAGAGTCATCCCACTTGGCATATTCGCTCAAGATGCGGAACCAGCTTGCCCTCAAAATTTTGACGGACCAGGTCGTCCTACCTAGGACGAGCGCTCTTCGTGCAAGCGCACAGGACATGGGGAAGATCAGCGAGCACGACCTCCGTCTTGAGCTGTCACTTGCGGGCGTGGGCAAGAACCGATGGCGAGGTCCGACTGTAGGCCGCCGGCAGACTCGGGGGGGGGGGGGCGCAGGAGCCCAACTGCAAGCTGCCACACTTGCCCACCTCGTCCTATGTTGTCCCATCAATGTCTAGGGACGGATTGACTATATCTAGAGTGAAGAATATTCTCTAGTGGATCGTCCCATCCTCAGTTGTCTCTAAACCAACTATTAAAATCACTAGATTCCCGTTCTTTGCTATTTCTCACAAAAAGCTCATAGGTGTTGACCATGATCGGTACACATTTTGGCGGTGTACAGATTTCTAACTTGTAGAATGATCATGGTAGTTGGGTAGATGCACTCAAGGATGCATGTGGAGTGGTATTTCGTGAAATTAGGCTGGAATGCTAGATCTTTGGTGTTTTCCTTTTGATTAAGCCTATAGTGTTTGTACTCAAAACTGTTGTATTAATCTTACTCTGTACTCTGAAACGCTTACATGAATTTGTAATTAGTTGAAAAATATATGCACGTGATAGCTGAAATATTCTATAACTGTCACAGATGGGAAAGGAATTGGAATTTGCGTTTGAGAAATTCTAGTTTTGTTTCAGCCAGCTCTATAAACACCAGAACTTCCGTGCTAGCTCCTTTTTTTCAGTACCGGCTCTGATATCCGTCCCTCCTTTTTTTTTCAGTGCCGGCTCTGATAACCAACACGAATGAGCCAGCACGGATGAGGTTTCTACACTAGTGGGAGGGAGTATATATTCAACCACTGAGGCCCAATATATGGGTTGAAATAGAGCAAGCATTTGCAGTATGTGAAATGTACTTATTTTCTTAATCATCCCATGTGAATGCATGCATCATGTAGCAATACCATTTCTCATTTTTCTCTTCTCGCCGATTTCGTCTGCAGTCTTCTCATTGGTGAAGCATTTTGTCTACGGGCTCTAGAGACTGATTGGTCAAGTCCAACGTGCATCATTGGCTTCCCGAAGCTAACAATTTGTCTACACATACTACATTTGGCCATGCAACTTGGACGTTGTCATACAGCAGCATTGTCCGCGGCTAGCTTGTAGTATTAGAGAAACTAGCAAAATTTGATTTTTGTCACCTCTAATCTTCCTCCATGTTCTTAATAACTACTGGAAATGCAGTGCCAATTCGACTTTCCAGTGTTGCTTGCTTAACTGAAGCAAGATAGCAGCACAACATTGTTTTTAGATAATGGAATAGATGTCATATTCCAGCCCCACATCAGGGTGATGCTTTAGCCGTTCCTTATTCCAATAGCTATCCTCGCCGCAAAAGCAAGCTCATAGTTCAACGAACAAGATCGCAAAATAAGACCCAACATCTTTAACATAACCTATGTTAAACCTCCACTTTTGTCCAGAAAAAATCACCATTGTGGCGATCTCCAAAGCACGACAAAGCATTTCACATCACTTTTTGATTCTCCGATATGTGGCCTTAAATAAAACCTGCATAAAAGATGGTACATTTTGTTTATCAAACACAATGTCATACCAACATAGCCATAAAAACCAGGAACTTATAATCTTCCTCCTCCTTTCTGGTAGACAACAGAAGGAATAATCAGATGACACGTGCCTTCAAGACAACTTCTGCCCAACACTTAACATACCTATTAGGATTTGACACTTAAGAGTAACTTGTGCATAGCTATCTAGCTAGTTCAACTCTTGTATTTGAAGCAACACCATAATAAGGGGAAAAACAGTACGCCCAAATCCATTTTCAGAGTGGCTGGCTCATTCACTTCTATCTCCCTGTCTATTGAAATCATCGATTTTTAGAGATGGACCGAAATCCAGCTGCCCTAGAAATCGATTTCTAGAGGTAGTCTGTAAGGTGGTCCACCTCTAAAAAACGTTGTCGGGTTCATACACCCGGGGTCCCCAATGGATCCGCTTCCCTGCAAAACCCGGTCCAGCAGGCGGCGTAGCGACAACACGCGCCTGGGCCAGCCCAGATACATAATGACAGGCCGGGACAACAATCCAGTCCCCGACCAGAGGGCATGGCAAAGGTGGAACCGCGGTCCGACACCGACCTCTTTCTCCGACTGAGGAAACGCTGGACCTCTGCTCGCTGCCCTTTCCCGACCGACACGGTCGGGGTCGACTGGGAACGACCGACCGGGGACACCCGCTCGGTGAGGGCCCGGGGATCAGATGGAGCAGATAAGGTAAGACGCTCAAGTCAACCGCAATACTGAGGACCGTACCCTGCCATGCCCTGCGCACCTGCAGGACGGTGCCACCAGACCATGCCAGACGGGCACTATACAACCTTCCAGATACGTCAGAGCACAAACAATATTGTAGGCGTCGACGTTTGCCATGCCAGGCGAACACGGTAGAGCCTGCCAAATGTGTCCGAACATAAACAGTATTGTGAGCGCCAACAACCGTCTCGTACCCGACAGTGTGGGCAACAAAACTAGGTAGCATACGTATACACACTCTCTCTCTCTGACTTGTAAGGCCATCCCTTTCAACTATAAAAGGAGATGAGCTCTCTCCAAAATGCGGGCTGGATCTCAAAAGAAAAAAGAGGATAGACGACTCGAGGACTCGACGACCTGAGGACTCGAACAGCTCAATAGCCCTAGAACTCAACAGCTACACAGAGCATACGCTCCAATACTTAGCGCATGTTAGAGTACCCGTCACTCTCGGCTATTCAGTTCAAAGTCCGACCGGGCCTTTAACACCCCCCTTCTTATTCCTACTCATTTGTAACCCCACAACAAACTTCGAGCACTTAGGCTCAGGAATAAAGTCACCAACCGACTAAAACTGGACGTAGGGCACGTTGCCTGAACCAGTATAAATCCTGTGTCATTACGTGCTAGGCCACATCCGATCACAACGCACGACAAAACTATAAATATTTACTTATTAGTCACTTTTCGCACCGACAAACGTTTTTTATAGAATTCGTAAATCAAGCAAAAAAACTCAGAACTTTGTTTCCACAAGTCATGACATGTAATTTTTGTACATATGTGGTCCGAGGATCAAACTCAGAATCTCAAGCCTCATGTGTTCTTTCCTTACAACTCCACCACAAACTAATTTGTGACCAAG